CCCCAAAACCCCAAAACCCCAAAACCCCAAAACCCCTGGTGAGAACCTCTAATTGAACGTTTGATACTTTAAAATACTTGGAAAATAGAGGTTAAATATCCTAGAGTTGTGTCTTATGCTTCTTTATAAGCTTATAGATCAGCTCGGATGCATATTTTTCATCGGTAAATCTCTTCTTTGGGGTCTTCTTGAGCTCTTTGAGCCAATTCTTTGAGTCTGTTGGGAGCCACTTTTGAGAGTTGTTATTTAATTAGAACGCTTGTTCGTGAGTTTCAGGCTATCTTATTTTAACAATCTGTAGGGAATTATAGGGACAAACTCACTTCTTGGTAGTAGTTTTGCCATTGGGTTTTATTGTAATATTTTTGGCCTTTTTAGCCTTTCTCAGTCGTTTAGAACGGAAGCTATCTGACTCAGAATCTTTCCCAGGTTTGTCGATCGAGTGATAAGCAAAAGCATGTGAAGGCTCTTGATTGTAGATCGTCTTCTGGATGTTCATCTTTGGTAGCATTTTGTAATCCAGATCTTCCTCCTCAGATGGCTTGGTGTGGTTATTTTCTTCGGTAAAAAGATTCATATTGATATTGAGGCCAAGAAAGTCATCTTCAATGTAGTTGTTTACGTTTCTAAACTGTCACATTTGGGGTTACTCAAATGACTTGTAGTTGGAGTTTGATACGAAAATGTTGTCGTTGGCTGCTCCTTTAGTTGTTCCTATAATCTTCGCAATCTTTGAGTACCTTTCAGGCTACCTGGTGATACAGATAGTTCACATTTGGAGAGATTCAAATTAATTTCTAGGGGTTTTAGCTTGGAACAGTTACTTTTATTCGTAGTTTCGCCATAAATATTTGAGTTTGTTATGAGTTTGGGCATCTTCTTTTTGGACTTCAGTGATCTGTGAGTGAGGGTTTAGAGTTACTTTTCTCTATTTCTCCATTATTTTAAAGAGTTTAGCGCTGGTGGTTGACTTAGGCATAGTGAGTCTGGAGTCTATAGGTGTGAGGTCATCGTTTTGCAGTGGATCTTACTCTCTAAACCCCATTTATTTTTACTCATTGGTGAGGAAGAATAGTATAGGGACAGAATCTCCTGTAAATCTTTATTTTCTCCCTACTTCAGGGAGTCATGATGACTGATTTCTGATGGCCTTATTTTTGTTAATTTGACTTGGAGGCGCCAGATTTGCTGGTATTGACTGATGAAATTGGGGAATAGCGAGAATGATAATGAGAAGTTGGCTTAATGAAAATATTCCTTTTTCTTCCTATTGAAATCTTTTTCTTTTGAGCATTTTCGGGAGTTAAAAGCATTTCGTGATGATTAATAGGGGTTTCCATTATATAAAATACTTTCAATATAAATTAAATCAAGAGGGGTTTTGGGGTTTTGGGGTTTTGGGGTTTTGGGG